ATAAACAGAAAAGCATTAAAATCTAATGTTTGAAATAAATAGAGCAGGAAATAAGACGAGGCTCAAACAGGACAGTAAAAGTCAGAGTGCAGTGTGCGATATTAATCTACAGCCTAACATCTGATTTCATTAAAGGAAAGAAGACAGGAGCCTGCAGACTGGAGTTTTCAGGAAACCCACACTTGGACCAATACCTACTGTTCGATTCCCACCACCCACTGGAACACAAGCAAGGGGCCATCAGATTCCTGTGCCCGAGCCAGAGAGAAGGAACAGAAGCACCTGCAGGGGCCACTTTCAGATCCAGGAAGAAGACCGACCCTATGGGGGACGAGGAGAAGAAGGTCAAACGCCACAACGTTGAGAGTCAATCTCCATCATTCCCAAGTGAAATCTACCAAACTCTGAGCGCCACTAAATGTTCTGATGTGATCAGCTGCTAGAACTCTGGACTGACTGAAGCAGGGACTCTTGGGAGCTGAAGCTTCACTGCTGTACAGACCTGAGGCCTCATTTAGAAATGCTGCGTACGTCCAAAACAGGGCTGGAAACGTGCGGACGCCGCTTCCCAAGCAAAGGCTGGGATCTCTAAAAGCAGAGCTGACGGGAGAATGAAGAGGAGAGAAGAGAAACGGCGCCTCAAATGGCAGAACTATGAAACGCTTTGAAATGAAGAGGCCGACTATTGTGTCAAATAAATCCAAATCTTCCCTCTGAGTATTCCAGGCTTAAAGCCTTTCTGAAGAAACAAACAGCCGTTTGATTGGTCGAAGTGCGCAATAAAAACATCATTTAAGATCATTTGCAGCCACAAAAAGATCCAGATTCAGGATCAGAAACACAAACGGAGATTCTGTCTCTGCAAAAGAAGGCCTCAGATCTGTTGGACAGTTTAATCAGGAGTCAGATTCATTAATACCTGCATGCAGCACTTTATTCTCCTCAATAAGGTGAACAGGAGAAAAACGACATTTAAACTGATGCCGTTTTCAGAGCGTCAGCAAACACCAGAGCAGAGATTCACATATTGTTCTCACATGTTCGTCGCCTTATGGAGCCAAACGCTGAGCGCCAGCGTGTGGACGTGACGCGCTGCTTGTAAAAACACGTCTTTTGGGCGCACGGACACTTTCAGTGAGGATTCTACGCACAGTTTTCTAAACGAGGCCCCTGGAAAGCAGCATGTGCAGTCCCTTCAGTCAGGAGGCTCCTGTTCAGAACAACTTCATCAACAGCACTGACTAAAGAAGAAAACGCGGTGGGTTTTTGTTCCTAAACTCTCCAGCAGAGGTCAGTGTTGCTCCACTGATCTGCTGTGTTGTTAACTCATGAGTGTACAGCTGTGTGTTCTCTCCTCCTCGACACTCTGGAAACAGGAAGATTGAAAGAGCGTGCGATACATATTAACTCTGTGTGAACGACTCAGCTTACCCGTCCTCAGGTAAAGTCCAGGCTCTGGCAGACCACTCCAGGTCCCACAAGCCTCCCTGATGGAACTGTTCTCACTGAGTTTGACACCATCGAGGTCTTTGAATGTTTGCTTCTGTTCATATCTGGCTTTTAACATGTGATGTGGCCCCAAAAGGATGTTTTAATCCAGTCTGTGCTGTTTTTATGGATCATTTGCAGCTGGAAAATAGCAGCGGTGGACGAAGGATTCAGATCCTTTACAGTAAAAGTACAAATACCTCACTGTCAAAATACTCTGTTAGTCAATTGGATGATTGAAGTGTGAAGAAACAGACATATTTCTTCATTTAACACACAGAAGCGTCAGCAGCGTGTGAAGAAGCAGTCCACAGCCACAACAGCCTGGCAGCTCCTCATGCTGCTCAGCAGCCTGCTCACACACTGCTGTCAGATACTGTCAGATACTACAAGCAGAGGAAGAAGACGGCATTACTGGAAGAAGCATTTCTGATTTCAAATGCTGGCTGAAGAATGGGAAGCCATCTCACAGCAGTGTGTGCCAAGAAGCACTGTTACAACAAAGAAACACATTTCATCTGACACTAACTAGCTAGCGTGGTTAGCGCCGCGCACATGTTCAGATCCTAAAAACAGAAGGAGCGACGACACCATCTTCTCCCACACCTGGACTTGAACCCGAACCATCTGGACGGGAACCAGGAGTCCTGACCGCAGGACCATTTGGGCCAACAGTACAAAGAGTTCTTGTTTAATTGTAAATGATGAGACGAGCAGCTGGACAACCAAATGATTAGAAAGTCAACAGCCAGGAAGTCCATCATCCAGAGTTTCCTCTCCAGACTGATGGAGGTGGATCTTCTGCAGGTTCCTCCCTCAGTCTGATCTTCTTCCTCTCTCTGCTTGTTAGTCTTCGTCGGTACTGAAGACGGTCCGGTGGTGAAGGACGCCGAGCGGCGACCTGGAGACGTGGGTTCAAACCTCGGCTCGGACTCTCTGAGGTACGTGATGAAACTGTGTGTCTGTGATCAAAAAACCCTAAAATACTTCAAACAACCAACAAAAATGTTCAAACCCACCGAAATCGCTTGCGTGAATTTCCGCCGTTGTCTGACTGCAACACAGCTGACCTCCGAGGAACAGGTGAGTCCGTTACTTTTTCATTATTTTTTATTTTACCAAAGAAAGAACGTAAGAAAGAAATCATGAAGGTCCAAGAGATTTCAAAATAAAACAACTCTAAAAGGTGTGATGTCCCCCTGTGAGACAAAGGTGTGTCTGTGAAGTCAAGTCTGGGTGAATAAAGGAGAAACCAGCTCCCAGCAGTGGTGAGGAGCATGCTGGTCTCTGTGAATCATTTACCAGGGAGCTCTGTCTACATGTGGAGGTGTGGTGGTTCAGTGGGTTAAAACTTATAAACAGGAGATCATGGGTTCAACTCCCAGCAGTCCCTGATTGTTACCATCATTGGTCATCAGTTTCTACTTTCTGCCCACCAAAGCCATTTAAGTCAAACTGATGCTCTCTGACAACGTGTGGGAGAGAAAAGAGACTAAAAAGCTGGAAACTATCTGAGCCTCCTGACCAGATGTAATGCCAGATTCTCCTCACAGTGCTCAGTAACATGCTGATCTTGGTGAATGGCTGGCTCAACCATCTCTGGACACTTGTTGGAACTTTAGTTTTGGATTCTGTTTTTATGTGAGTTGTATTTTTCCCTGTGTGTTTCCTGTTTCTGCCTTTGTCCCATGTGTCCCTCTTTGCATCTCATTCTGTCCTTCCTTGTCCTTAGTTATTTTTGTCTTGTACGTCCTTGAGTATTGTCTTGTGCTTTACTTCCTGCTTTATTCTGTCATCGTCAGTGTCTGGTGTTCACGTCTAGCTTTGTTCTTTTTCTGTTAGTTTCTAACCTCTACCTGGGTTTTGGACTTTAGTGGATCTGTATCTGCTTGTGTTTTTGCTCCTTTTGATTTATTCTTTATTCTGTTCTGTTTTGGTCTCATGGTCTGTCTCGCTTTCCTGTTTCACTGTGTCTGCTGTGCCTAAGTAGTTCCTCATGTGGTTCACCTGTGCGCCCCCTCCCTGCTCGTTTGCCTGTGCATTTAAGCGCTCAGTTCTGTTCTGTCTTTGTTGCGTCCTCATCGTTTGTTGAGTGTTCTGCCTGAGCTCTTTCCCCTGCTTTCCCTTTGATTCCCTGTTTCCCCCTTTGGATTATGTTTGGTTTGGATTTTCCTGTGTTTGGACTTTCTTGTGCTTGGACATGAGCCTGTTTTGTTTGTTTAATAAATTTATTTCTCCTCTCAAGGTCTGCATTTTGGGCCCCCACCTCAGTTTTCCTGCCGCTGCACTCGGCCTTAAACATGACAACAGCAGATACTGAGCTGCGTCTCAGTTAAGATGCTTCTGTTACCACGCTGACTATTAAGGTGGTTTAAGGGCTTTAACTGGTTTTAAGGTGGCATCAGGATTTTTAAGGTGGTATTAGGATTTTAACAATGGTGTAAATTCTTTAAGGTGGTGCCTTTTAGATTTAAGGTAGTATTAGTATGTTTCAGGTCAACAGAAATGATTGCATGTCTGTTTCAGTTCTGTCCATTGTGAACTTAATGCTGAGGAGTTTAGTTTGTCAGCTCAGACCCAGGAGCCATTCTTCCCTCCAGACCTGGAGCCCTGGCCGTCTCCTCTGAATTCAGTGCCATAGAAACCTTTCCTGCTCACTCCACAGAGCTGAGGCCAGCAGTCAGACCTCTCCGGGTGATCAGGATCTGGGTGCTCCTCTCTCAAACAGTTGGAGGAAGTGGTGCGCTGTGTTTGCTTCCATAGTTCACAGAGATCTGATGGAGAGAACCACATAGAAAGGTTTAATTGGTTTTGTCTAAAGAATCAGACCATGAAGAGCCACCAGGATTCCAGGCTTTGGTTTCAGAGACCACTTCCTACTTCTTTCTAATGTGAGCAGAGCTCCTGAGTATTTATAGAGACAAACATCTGTCCCAGCAGGAAGGACTGTTGGACTGGAGGAAGTACTCAGCTGTTGTTTTAAGATCAGTTAGTACATAATGCTGCTTTAAATGATGTTTGTGTGAAAGTTGACAGGGATCTTTGTTCAGTTCATGTCTGTGTGTTGCTGCTGCTCACTGAGCGCTGATATTTAGGGCTAATGTGGCTGTTTGACTGAAGTCAGATTCTCTCTGACTCACTGACCTCAGAACAACAAAACCTTCAGCATCAGAGAGACAACACAAGAAATGTATGAACCACCTGCTGAGCCTAAAGTAGAGCAGGACAGGTTGGCAGAAATGTTCCATCTCACTGGAGATGGTTACATGTCACAGCTCGCAAAACACCAGGTGAACTGGTTTCTCTGGGACTGACTTTGTGTCTTCAGACCAGTCAGTCTGCATGTTCTGATGGTGAGACAGCAGCTGCAGTCACATGACTGATTATGGGAGGAGTCACCATAATCTCTCTCTCTACAGACGGACTTGGATGAGACGCCATCAGGCTGCTGATCTGACGGACATCCACAGGAACAAGCTGAGTGAGTCTGATGTTTTTACCTTTGAAAATAGTGATGGGGATCAGGGCTCTTTGGAGGAGCCGGATCTGATGGATCTGTTCCTTTCTGAGAAACACTCATAAGAACCAGGATCATTTCATTTAGCATGTGGGGAATAAATGGCTTGTGTTTACAGACCTGATGTCAGTGATCTGCAGATTTTGGCTCATTTTTTCGTCACGTCTGCCTCTGTGATTGGCTGCTTCTCTCTGGAAATGTGGGCGATAAAAAGAATGTCTCTCACCAAGTACGACTCTGTTCCTTCGTTAGTTGGAGGCCTCCTGTGTAATATTGTGGTTCACTCAGGATAAACTCAGTGAAGCAGTTTCCTCTTTATTAACAGGAACAAACAGCTCTAGACTCACTTTACCACACTTAGATCAGAAATCTGCACTTTGAGACTCAGATGGTGGAGATTAAATGAATGTTTCCTTGCGAGTCGCTGTAACAACAACACCTGAAAGAAAAACTGAAGAGGTGCCAACAAACCGAGCCTCTCTGTGCTTCAGCTGAAGGTTTGTTAACTTGTCGTCAACTGTGGAACGAAAGAAAACCAGTTTTCAGAGGAGGAGGGAGAGAGGGGAGAGTTGTGGATCAGGTCCATAGTCTAAACTGATTTCTTGTTTTCTCAGCTTCATATGAACTAATGTGTGAGTTACTGTATCTCCACAACAAATGAAAGATTCAGCTTGTAATCAGACGAGTGCTGAATCTCTCCTCCACTCAGAAGCTCGTGGGTCTGCTGCTGCTGAGAAACTTCTCCCTGCTTCATAAGAGCAGCGAAGAAACGCAGATCAAAGTCAGGATCTCCATCAACAGAGGTATGATCTCTACATTTCTTCAGATGATGAATAATTCCACACAGCTGTCTGTGTTAGAGAATAAAAGCACAGCTAGACGTCCTCTTATTGTGAAAATCTGCTGCTGCTGCTTCCTGCCTGTCCTGCTTCCATTCCAGGAAACAGCTCACCTGTGTGGACGCCTTTTCTCTGCAGGCGTCCAGTGAGAGTCTTCTTCTTCAGCACTTTGAAGAAAGTAGAAGTTGCTTTGTTTGATAGTTTAACACCAAGTTTGTCTTTAGTCCCTTCAGGGTTTGTGTCTTGCTGTCTAATGTTTGTAGTAGTTGTTCACTTCTTATTTCAGCAGAGAGTTTGGAGAACTCTTGTGTTTGAGAGAAATCTCCATGTTGTTGGATTATTAAGAATCTGATGAACAGCTGATGTTTCTTTCCTTTCTTCAGCTGGCAGAAAACAAACTACATCGTGCTTTTCAAAGCGTCGTCTCCACCGGCGTAAAGTCAGACACAGCAGGATCCTGACGTTTCCTGGCAGACCTGAAAGGTAAGCTTCTTTTCTCTTTACTCCCTCTCAGCAGGCTGTGGCATGTTTAGTTCAGCTTGAGCTGACATGTCTGGGTGGTCGTGTTATATCTTGTCAGTCAGCTTTTTTTTTTTTTTCACTGTAGACATCGTCCGATGGAAATTTTGTAGACATCGCCCAACCCTAAAGTACAGTTATTAAAGGTATTTAGTGTTATTAAAATACATTTTCAAAAACTAGAAACGCCACACCTGAGCTCTGAGTAAATATACTGTACAGCGTACATTCAAGCCTGGTGGCTGTCTGGACCATGCGTCTGTGATTTTAAATATTAATAGATCATTGTTGCTGGAGCCACACTAGACACGTGGAATAAAAGAGCCTGTCCTCAACAGAAAAACTTCCTCTGACTGCTCTTCAAAGATCATTGGAAGGCGACAACGCTGATGTTTCTCCCACTCCTCTGCTGTGGGGTAACAAGGTTTAAGCTGAGCCACATGCACAGTGCGCAGATCTTTCCCTAAATCTTCCAAAACAATCTCATAATTCAGAGGGCTAATTTTCCTCACCACTCTGTACAGTCTTTCCATCTCGGTGCAATCTTAGTGGAGAACGACTTGTCTGCCCTTGAATAAGGGTGAGCATTGAGCCAGACTCAATCCAACTCTTTAAAAGTTTCTTCTCTCTGGGTTTTATCATAGTTACATTTTTGGTGTTTTTCAGCCCTGGACTCATACACAGCGGTGTAAAACCAAACTGAAACTCTGTTTTTGGACTGAATACAGTGAAAATAACAAAAATAAGTCAGTAGTTGTAACTGTAAATGTATATTGCTGCGTTTGTTATTAGTTGGCTAATTACTCTGTGAGTTGAGTGATTTGAGTTACACAGCTGAACAGGGCTGAAGCTCAGCTGTCTTAAGATTGGTGGGACTGCAGTGTAGCATGAGAGGAGAGATATGTGGAAGGGATCTTGTGCAACCAGGTACGGTGATCACAGAGCGATTTATGTTGTGAAATAAGTTTATTTAGATGTTTGGTGTTTGATGTGTGTTTGGTGTGGATACAAATGGTCAGTTTGAGATTCTAGCTGAGCCTCCTAGCTTCACGGAGATGTGCGGCATGCATATGGTGACAAAATAATCTGATCGTCCATGACTTCCCATTTGCATTTGGACAAACAAAAATAAATCGTCCAGGCTTACGTGGTCTACGTCAGGGGTCCTCAACTACATTTGTTCTAAGCAGACACTGTGGGGGCCGAACTTTCAAAAACATTTTTAATTGACATATTTTCACAAAATTAGTGTTTTTATTAGCTTCTATCAGTGTGAACAGACTCCTAAAAACATGGCAGGCCTGAATCCATCATGATAAATCTACAGACGCTGCTTAACTAGAAAATGCTCTCAGACTGCAGCCGAGAAGTTCACTGAGGAGTGTTGGTTCAAATGGCTGAGCAGCTGGAGGTGTGCAGCCTGTTACCTGGCTGAGCAGGTGGAGGTGTGCAGCCTGTTACCTGGCTGAGCAGCTGGAGGTGTGCAGCCTGTTACCTGGCTGAGCAGGTGGAGGTGTGCAGCCTGTTACCTGGCTGAGCAGCTGGAGGTGTGCAGCCTGTTACCTGGCTGAGCAGGTGGAGGTGTGCAGCCTGTTACCTGGCTGAGCAGGTGGAGGTGTGCAGCTGGAGGTGTGCAGCCTGTCACCTGGCTGAGCAGGTGGAGGTGTGCAGCTGGAGGTGTGCAGCCTGTTACCTGGCTGAGCAGGTGGAGGTGTGCAGCTGGAGGTGTGCAGCCTGTTACCTGGCTGAGCAGCTGGAGGTGTGCAGCCTGTTACCTGGCTGAGCAGGTGGAGGTGTGCAGCCTGTCACCTGGCTGAGCAGGTGGAGGTGTGCAGCTGGAGGTGTGCAGCCTGTTACCTGGCTGAGCAGCTGGAGGTGTGCAGCCTGTTACCTGGCTGAGCAGGTGGAGGTGTGCAGCTGGAGGTGTGCAGCCTGTTACCTGGCTGAGCAGCTGGAGGTGTCCAGCCTGTTACCTGGCTGAGCAGGTGGAGGTGTGCAGCTGGAGGTGTGCAGCCTGTTACCTGGCTGAGCAGCTGGAGGTGCAGCTGGAGGTGTGCAGCCTGTTACCTGGCTGAGCAGGTGGAGGTGTGCAGCTGGAGGTGTGCAGCCTGTCACCTGGCTGAGCAGCTGGAGGTGTGCAGCTGGAGGTGTGCAGCCTGTTACCTGGCTGAGCAGCTGGAGGTGTGCAGCTGGAGGTGTGCAGCCTGTTACCTGGCTGAGCAGGTGGAGGTGTGCAGCTGGAGGTGTGCAGCCTGTTACCTGGCTGAGCAGCTGGAGGCGTGCAGCTGGAGGTGTGCAGCCTATCACCTGGCTGAGCAGGTGGAGGTGTGCAGCCTATCACCTGGATGAGCAGGTGGAGGTGGGCTGAGCAGGTGGAGGTGTGCAGCTGGAGGTTGTCAGCCTGTTACCTGGCTGAGCAGGTGGAGGTGTGCAGCCTGTAGAGGTGTGCAGTCTGTCACCTGGCTGAGCAGGTGGAGGTGGGCTGAGCAGGTGGAGGTGTGCAGCTGGAGGTTGTCAGCCTGTTACCTGGCTGAGCAGGTGGAGGTGTGCAGCTGGAGGTGTGCAGCCTGTTACCTGGCTGAGCAGCTGGAGGTGTGCAGCCTATCACCTGGCTGAGCAGGTGGAGGTGTGCAGCCTATCACCTGGATGAGCAGGTGGAGGTGGGCTGAGCAGGTGGAGGTGTGCAGCTGGAGGTTGTCAGCCTGTTACCTGGCTGAGCAGGTGGAGGTGTGCAGCCTGTAGAGGTGTGCAGTCTGTCACCTGGCTGAGCAGGTGGAGGTGGGCTGAGCAGGTGGAGGTGTGCAGCTGGAGGTTGTCAGCCTGTTACCTGGCTGAGCAGGTGGAGGTGTGCAGCTGGAGGTGTGCAGCCTATCACCTGGCTGAGCAGGTGGAGGTGGGCTGAGCAGGTGGAGGTGTGCAGCTGGAGGTTGTCAGCCTGTTACCTGGCTGAGCAGGTGGAGGTGTGCAGCCTGTAGAGGTGTGCAGTCTGTCACCTGGCTTAGCAGGTGGAGGTGGGCTGAGCAGGTGGAGGTGTGCAGCCTGTTACCTGGCTGAGCAGCTGGAGGTGTGCAGCCTGTAGAGGTGTGCAGTCTGTCACCTGGCTTAGCAGGTGGAGGTGGGCTGAGCAGGTGGAGGTGTGCAGCCTGTTACCTGGCTGAGCAGCTGGAGGTGTGCAGCCTGTTACCTGGCTGAGCAGCTGGAGGTGTGCAGCTGGAGGTGTGCAGCCTGTTACCTGGCTGAGCAGCTGGAGGTGTGCAGCCTGTTACCTGGCTGAGCAGGTGGAGGTGTGCAGCCTGTCACCTGGCTGAGCAGGTGGAGGTGTGCAGCTGGAGGTGTGCAGCCTGTTACCTGGCTGAGCAGCTGGAGGTGTGCAGCCTGTTACCTGGCTGAGCAGGTGGAGGTGTGCAGCCTGTCACCTGGCTGAGCAGGTGGAGGTGTGCAGCTGGAGGTGTGCAGCCTGTTACCTGGCTGAGCAGGTGGAGGTGTGCAGCTGGAGGTGTGCAGCCTGTTACCTGGCTGAGCAGCTGGAGGTGTGCAGCTGGAGGTGTGCAGCTGGAGGTGCAGCCTGTTACCTGGCTGAGCACTGGAGGTGTGCAGCTGGAGGTGTGCAGCTGGAGGTGTGCAGCCTGTTACCTGGCTGAGCAGGTGGAGGTGTGCAGCTGGAGGTGTGCAGCCTGTTACCTGGCTGAGCAGCTGGAGGTGTCCAGCCTGTTTACCTGGCTGAGCAGGTGGAGGTGTGCAGCTGGAGGTGTGCAGCCTTACCTGGCTGAGCATGGAGGTGTGCAGCTGGAGGTGTGCAGCCTGTTACCTGGCTGAGCAGGTGGAGGTGTGCAGCCGTTACCTGGCTGAGCAGGTGGAGGTGTGCAGCTGGAGGCGTGCAGCTGGAGGGGTGCAGCCTATCACCTGGCTGAGCAGGTGGAGGTGTGCAGCCTA